CTTCACATTACAACCACATGGTAACAGAAGGAAGTTAAACGTTTGACAATATCAGAAACATGTGGATGATGCAGGGAAAGAAACCTTTTAAAATTTCCACTTGACCTCAGGACCAGTGAGTGGACAATAATTAGTGGTCCTGTCTGTACTTCACTGGTTAAAAAATCATCCTAGACTTTGGGGAAAATGCACTGGCCACCAGGACAACTGCAAACTTATCATTTAGTGGTCCTGATGAATTTTTACTAGCCAGGGACCACAGGACCAGCGTAAATTTCGCACAGTGATGATGGGACTATGTATTACTGTGAATACACAATGCCTGGTCAGATTCTAGTACTTTTGTTGGGATGATGAGTCCCATCCGGGATTCAAACCCACACCCTCAGAGTCCAGCACCTAATCACCAGCACACAAAATCTAACGCCTAACCTGCTCAGCCACCGCAGCATAAGGTTGCTGTGACGGATCGCATGATAAGACCTGTGGTATGTTGATAAGGTCACTGCCCTGTCACTGCGAAGTTACACAATGTGGGTGATGTGCCAGGGTCAGTCACCGGCTACCCTGGAGCAACCTAAAGTCAGGGTCACTGTCTGGGACAGTGTTCCCTGAACTGTACCGAGAGTGTAATGAAGGTGTTGCATGTTGTGATGGAAACTGCTGCATAACATTGCACACTTCTATACACAGAATAAGAAGCATGACTGAGTGAGTTTAGTTTTACCCCGCTTTTAGCAATATTCCAGCAATATCATGGCGTGGGACACCAGAAATGGGCTTCACACATTGTACCCATGGCTTCAGCATGAGAAGCAGGATGGACTAACATGTTTAAATTATCCACAATGATTTGATTGGTTGGTTTGTTGTTTAACGCCGCACTCAGCAATATTCCAGCTATATGGCGGTGGTCTGTAAATCTGGACCAGACAATCCAGTGATCAACATAATTGGGATACAATCATATGTGTCAACCAAGTCAGCAAGCATGACCACCTGATCCAGTAAGTCACCTCTTACGACAAGCATGGGTTACTGAAGACCCATTCTAACCCGGATCTTGACGGGTCTAATAATTCATGATGAACTATTTATATGAGATTATTTTATATTTCACCATGTCATGTGGGTGATAATTTTTGCATCATTATTGAAAAGGATTTCCAGCTGCCGCATTCTACACTGTATGAGCAACAACGTGACATTGGTACCATCAGCAAACACAATACAAACGAGTCAGTAAGTGAGTTTAGTTTTACTCCGCTTTTAGTAATACTAGTATTCCAACAATATCAGGGTCAGAGACACCAGAAATGGGCTTCACACATTGTACCCATCTGGGGAATCGAACCCGGTCACATCACTTTGGCATGATGGCTTAACACTTTAACCACTAGGCTACCCCAACACCCCAATACAAATGAGTTCCTGGTGACTGTAAAATAAATCTCAAAAAGGACCTTCCACTGATGGCATTTTGTATCAGAACAAAATAACCGACCAACTTAATATACACATTTCCATTTGAAAGTTCAATCAGTCTGACATAAATGTAATTTTGTCCCCAATTATTCATTTTTATAGCTGTTAAGGCAATAATTTCCTTAGATATTTCGCATCCAGTAAAACATTAAAGCAGTAAAGTGAATATGGGCATCTTATAGTACAGATAAATTAACATGAATATAGATCCTCTGTTGCAAAGTTGAGATAACATTTTCACTGAATTGCTCTTATCAAGAACAAAACTCTCATTCAGAAATACAAACCTGACAACATCCACTGATGATCTTAAACTATAAAGGATGGAACTGCTTCTGAAGCTAGTTACCATGGTTACCATGCAACAACCTACACCATTATATGTGTCATATGATCGCTGCCAACTAATGGAAGAATACATCACAGGATCTGGTGAAACACATTCAGGAACTCAACCCCTGCAGGTGTAATTCTACCAAAAAATAACTTGAGAACCGAATTGCATGGAAATGCTTCTCAATGGCCTTCGTACATCAATTGTCAAGTTATTTTGATGGGGCTGGATTAGTTCTTCCTACGGCAAGAAAGATTATCGTCAGTTAGAACTTCACTGAGCACCGCAAGCAATAATTTGCTGATACTGTGACCATGCAACACTGCTGGTGAAACTTCAGTCTAACAACAGACAGTTTTGTCTGGTGAAGTGTGGTATATTTTATGAGTGCTTCCATCACAATGAAGTCAAGGTACAAAACAGTTTGCCAACTACGAGTGAGTGAGTGAGTGAGTGAGTGAGAGTGATATTTGCGCAGCACTCAGCAATATTCCAGCTATATGGCGGTGGTCTGTAAATCTCGACCAGACAATCCTAGGGATCAAAAGCATGAGCATCGATCTGCAGAATTGGGAACAATGATATGTGTCAACCAAGTCAGCAAGCCTGACCACCTGATCCTGTTAGTCACCTCTTACGACAAGCATGGGTTACTGAAGACCCATTCTAACCCGGATCTTGACGGGTCTAATAATTCATGATGAACTATTTATATGAGATTATTTTATATTTCACCATGTCATGTGGGTGATAATTTTGCATCATTATTGAAAAGGATTTCCAGCTGCCGCATTCTACACTGTATGAGCAACAACGTGACATTGGTACCATCAGCAAACACAATACAAAACCAGTAAGTGAGTTTAGTTTTACGCCGCTTTTAGTCATATTCCAACAATATCAGGGTCAGAGACACCAGAAATGGGCTTCACACATTGTACCCATCTGGGGAATCGAACCCGGGTCACATCACTTTGGCGTGATGAGCGAACACTTTAACCACTAGGCTACCCCAACACCCCCAATACAAATGAGTTCCTGGTGACTGTAAAATAAATCTCAAAAGGACCTTCCACTGATGGCATTTTGTATCAGAACAAAATAACCGACCAACTTAATATACACATTTCCATTTGAAAGTTCAATCAGTCTGACATAAATGTAATTTTGTCCCCAATTATTCATTTTTATAGCTGTTAAGGCAATAATTTCCTTAGATATTCGCATCCAGTAAAACATTAAAGCAGTAAAGTGAATATGGGCATCTTATAGTACAGATAAATTAACATGAATATAGATCCTCTGTTGCAAAGTTGAGATAACATTTTCACTGAATTGCTCTTATCAAGAACAAAACTCTCATTCAGAAATACAAACCTGACAACATCCACTGATGATCTTAAACTATAAAGGATGGAACTGCTTCTGAAGCTAGTTACCATGGTTACCATGCAACAACCTACACCATTATATGTGTCATATGATCGCTGCCAACTAATGGAAGAATACATCACAGGATCTGGTGAAACACATTCAGGAACTCAACCCCTGCAGGTGTAATTCTACCAAAAAAAATAACTTGAGAACCGAATTGCATGGAAATGCTTCTCAATGGCCTCGTACATCAATTGTCAAGTTATTTTGATGGGGCTGGATTAGTTCTTCCTACGGCAAGAAAGATTATCGTCAGTTAGAACTTCACTGAGCACCGCAAGCAATAATTTGCTGATACTGTGACCATGCAACACTGCTGGTGAAACTTCAGTCTAACAACAGACAGTTTTGTCTGGTGAAGTGTGGTATATTTTATGAGTGCTTCCATCACAATGAAGTCAAGGTACAAAACAGTTTGCCAACTACGAGTGAGTGAGTGAGTGAGTGAGAGTGATATTTGCGCAGCACTCAGCAATATTCCAGCTATATGGCGGCGGTCTGTAAATAATCGAGTCTGGACCAGACAATCTAGGGATCAAAAGCATGAGCATCGATCTGCGCAGTTGGGAACCGATGACGTGTCAACCAAGTCAGCGAGCCTGACCACCCGATCCTGTTAGTCGCCTCTTATGACAAGCATGAAGATCAATATTCTAACCCCGATCTTCACGGGTCCATCTACAAGTGACATGAATGGAAATCTAACACTTCACAGACTGTTTTATAATAATTGTTAAAAAGGATTAAAATGATTAACAGACTGGATCAATTTACATGGAATATATTTCAAATCGACATCAATAAACAGACAAAACATGGTGTGACAAACTGATGTGTTCAAGTGAGTGAGAGTTCATGTCGTTTAATACTACAGTCAGAAATGTTCCAGTTGTTTACTGCAATCAAGACCAAGCGATCCAGTGAGTGAAGACAGCAGCAGCAATTTGCTCCATCATTCTGCCAGTATATCATGGGACTGATAAGACTTATTAAGAGACTCATTAGACACCAGCGTTGGCATGGTCTGATAGGGCATGATGAAGTCCAACCCACCAAGCCATGTTTGTGAACAGGGTGAAATATTTGAGGATGGAAGATGTACTAATTTCAATAGTGCAAACAAACAGCTGAAAAAACATCCTGACAGCCACAAAAAATATATTTGTTTTCCCAGTGTAACAATCTGCCTGTGTATTAGTGAGTGAGTAAGTTTAGTTTTATGCTGCACTCAGCAATATTCCAGCTATATGGCGGCGGTCTGTAAATAATTGAGTATGGACCAGACAATCCAGTGATCAACATAACAATGGCCAGAAGACATAAAGACTGACATGAATTTTGATAGCCAATATTTTATTAATCTAGACACTTGTATGGCATTCTGTTGCAAGGAGACAATGAGTGTGAATACTCTGCAAGTTTTATATTGTCCTGAAGAGAGTTCCACACTGAAAAACTTAGAAATAAGCTGCTTTCATGTCAATGGATGTTTCTGTCCTGATGGTGAGAATATTTCTGTTCAACTCATTCATTCTGTGGAACATTGTTACAGGGAAATCTGGAAACAATTATACCATTGTCACATTTTGAATCCTGTAAAAGAAACAACTGATAAATATCCTGTATAATAGCACCATTATCACTTTCCATAACTACTTCCGTGAGAAGAAAGCTCACCCCCCATCACATGCGGGGAACAAGCTACCAGGAGTTACCCCCCTTTAAAGCAAAGGAAGCAGGGTCCTACCTTCTGTATAATGTGGTCGAAGTTGATCCCAAGCTCTGGAAAATAAATATATACATCAGTAGATTGATCAACACTAGGATGTGATGTTGACAAATACAGTTACCATGGATACATCAGAATCAACAATGACTTGTAATGGTGCACTGTGCTACACACAGAAGAGGCAGTAAAAGGATGAATGATACACGCAGGTAAAGTGAATGTATCGGCAAACTGGACACTAAACTTTGCTTTGGTTGCACATTTGACCTAATTCTCACTGCTGATTTTCAGATGAATAAGCAATATTCCATTTCTATTACAGCGGTGGATAACAGAAAATTGGCTTCACACATTGTAGGTGAAGCCATGTGATGCCACAGTCAATCCCATGAACACTCTTAACTACCACCATCACGATATCTGTGACTCCTTGTAGCTCGAGTAGCTTCATTTGTTCCTTTATTCATTGAAAAGAAATATCAGCCTTTATTTTCCTCCTTGATGTGGCAGGTTAAGCAGATCAGCTGTCAGAAACGTGGTTCTAACTATGGTGGTTCAATCTGTAGGTGGCCTTGGCGATTGTCAGGTGAAGCCTTGTTGGTGTCTGTTGAGTGAGTGAGTGAGTGAGTGAGTGAGTGAGTGAGTGAGTGAGTGAGTGAGTGAGTGAGTGAGTGAGTGAGTGAGTGAGTGAGTGAGTGAGTGAGTGAGTGAGTGAGTGAGTGAGTGAGTGAGTGAGTGAGTGAGTGAGTGAGTGAGTGAGTGAGTGAGTGAGTGAGTGAGTGAGTGAGTGAGTGAGTGAGTGAGTGAGTGAGTGAGTGAGTGAGTGAGTGAGTGAGTGAGTGAGTGAGTGAGTGAGTGAGTGAGTGAGTGAGTGAGTGAGTGAGTGAGTGAGTGAGTGAGTGAGTGAGTGAGTGAGTGAGTGAGTGAGTGAGTGAGTGAGTGAGTGAGTGAGTGAGTGAGTGAGTGAGTGAGTGAGTGAGTGAGTACTTAAAGAACAAAAAAGGGCTCCTAAGATGAATGAAACGGAGGACCATCTAGTAGCCACACACCGCAAGGTATTATTCAGAAGATGGATGTACCCAAACACAGCACATTCATGAATACGCATGCCACAACCAGTATGATTCTGTTACCCAAACACTGACGTGTAATCTAAGGAATGAAAGAAAAATGTTGCTTTGTAACTTTAAGTACCAGAGTGGCTTGCATTTTTTCGGCGAAGTACAAATTCTAGTAACTTTTCTTTATTAAGTCATGTACAGGATTAAAACCCACACTCTCAGAATGAAGCACCTAGTTGTCAGCACACAGTCCACAATCTAACCCACTCAGCCATCGCTGCTTCCATTGAATGGAAGTCTGACAACTGGTAGTCAAGATAAGGTACTTTGTGTATCACTCCCACACAGGTGGAAGTGGATGTGGTTCGAATCCTGGATGAGACTGTCCCCTCAGACTAGAATTTATATTTTTTGTTTCTTTGTTATTTAATGCCACACTGAGCAATATTCCCGCTATATGGTGGCAATGTGTAAATAATTAAGTCTGGAGAAGACAATCCAGTGATCAACATCATGAGCATCGATCTATGCAATTGGAATGTGATGGCATCTGTCAACCAAGTAAGCAAGCCTGAGCACCAAGTCCTGTCAGTCGACTCTTACGCCAAGCATAGATTACTGAAAACCAATTCTAACCCGGATCTTCACAACACGGCACTGTGCAAAATTTATACATCATTTTATATTTATACATCATTTCTTTTGCAAACACAAACCACTGAAAAGAGCAAATTTGTAATTAAAGTGATTGCCAAAATTTCCCCATTAACAATTTCAAGTGATATATTTTCACACACAACACTGTGCAACATTTAATTATTTTGTTCATACAAATGGTGGGGCGTAGGGGTAGCCTGGTGGTTGAAGCATTTGCTCATCATGAGGAAGACCCGGGTTCGATTGCCCACATAGGTACAGTGAGTGAAGCCAACTTCTGGTGTCACCAGCCGTGTTATTGCTGGAATATTGCTAAAAGCAGCGTAAAACAAAACTCACTCACTCACTCACTCATACAAATGGGTTTTGCTAAGAAGGTAACATTATTGACTGACGCAACATTTACCCCTCACTATATCGGACGGATGTAAACTGAGGACACATCGACAGCCCCGGACTACGGAATACGACATTACCTTCCATCAGTGGGGGTTCATCATCGAAGTTGTCCGATGTTGTCTCGTTGAACGTAGCTGATGGAGTCATGATGGAGCCAGTGTACTGGGGACTGGCGTAGCCTTTGTTGTACTGCTGGTTGTAGTCAAACTGGCCAAACTGTCTGTAACAAGGGAGATAACTCAGTCAGGGTGCTGGTGTTTAGTAAGTGATACAGTGGGTTTCTTTTTAAAGTATTTGCTCATAACCAGTGTGTTAGCTTGTCTAAATGTTTTTATGACAGCTAGTTACACCAAGGATAAGCTTAACCTTGGTCACGCTCTTGATCATTCTGAATGTTGTTAATAGAGGTGTAATAGATGCTTGATTGGCATTTTAGAAGATGATATTTGATGAACATAGAGATTTTTTCTGGGTTACATCTTCTTTTTATTCTCGAGTACAACGTTTCAGGGCTTGTTCTGGCCCCATCATCAGGTAAAACTGAACAGTAACTGTTAACTCTGGCCGTGACGTCACAATGCTTATGACGTCACAATGATATGACAACGCAATACATGTGGTGGTCAATAGATACAGATGACATGGCTAATAGAATACATGTTATTATGAATATATAAGATGTCGTTTACTGCAAAATTAATGGATCAATTTAGAACTGTGCAGATACTTATACAAAATAGTTGATTGATTTAGAAATGTACAGAGACGTATTTATAAATGTATAGAATGTAAAGTAATAGCAGTGTTTACATAGAAATTATGCTTTATACATGGGAACAGTGACGAGGGAGGTGTAATGATATAGCACAGCTGTGATACAGTACAGGGAAAAAATCATTTCCCATTCTGCCTACAGTCCCAATTTGCCTACATCCCAGTTAGCCAACACAAATTACTGTAGGCAGAATGGGAAATGCTTTTTGACCTATAACATAATGAAACAACCCATTTACCAGTCCTTGAAGGGCATGTTGTTGGGTTTGGAGAAAGGATAATTAATGCAATTTCACTTGAATTAAACGACATCATGACATTGGTGATAATAAATGGCAGGTTTCAAAGCTGTGGTGGTCCTTATAATCCAATAAAGATACATAAACACATATACAATGAGTCTGGTCAGTTTATCAAACTCCTGATAAATTAGAGTGGGAACCAACAGCACCCACCACACAGTGGCAGATATTCATCGTGTTGAATTCATCACTTCACAAGCAGGAGGACAGCAAGTATTCTTTGCTGGGTACCGCTATCGCCCTAACGTCAGATGACACATTGACAGACTACAATGCATTCTACCATGACTACAGATGTATATACATTTTTTTAAATCTTAATAATGCGGTTATGGTAGAATGGAGATAAACATACTGTGTTGGAAAATCAGAGGTATATAACGAAATTCTTATTGGACACAACCATGCCCCATTAGAATGACTTCAATGACTATATGACTAGCACGTGGGTGGACTGTGAAGTACACTTTCCTGTAGGAACCTGGACACAGTTCGGCAATATTGAGCCCAGGACGATTAACCATCTTGAGGTGTGGCATCATGAGTTGAAGAATTATATTCCATGACATTTTGTCAATTCAAATGAATGAAATGCATTCAGAAAGAATAAAGATACCACTAGCTGGAGTTCTAAATTGATGTATTGTATCATGAGCCTTGTGTCAGCTATACAACACTGTTTTACTATATTGTAACACCACTAGCTGGAGTTCTAAATTGATGTATTGTATCATGAGCCTTGTGTCGCTATACAACACTGTTTTACTATATTGTAACACCACCACTAGCTGGAGTTCTAAATTGATGTATTGTATCATGAGCCTTGTGTCGCTATACAACACTGTATTACTATATCGTAACACCACTAGCTGGAGTTCTAAATTGATGTATTGTATCATGAGCCTTGTGTCGCTATACAACACTGTTTTACTATATCGTAACACCACTAGCTGGAGTTCTAAATTGATGTATTGTATCATGAGCCTTAAGTCGCTATACAATACTGTATTACTATATCGTAACACCACTAGCTGGAGTTCTAAATTGATGTATTGTATCATGAGCCTTGTGTCGCTATACAATACTGTATTACTATATCGTAACACCACTAGCTGGAGTTCTAAATTGATGTATTGTATCATGAGCCTTGTGTTGCTATACAATACTGTACTACCATATCATAACACCATTAGCTGGAGTTCTAAATTGATGTATTGTATCATGAGCCTTGTGTTGCTATACAATACTGTACTACCATATCATAACACCATTAGCTGGAGTTCTAAATTGATGTATTGTATCATGAGCCTTGTGTCGCTATATACAGTACTGTACTACCGTATCATAACACCATTAGCTGGAGTTCTAAATTGATGTATTGTATCATGAGCCTTGTGTTGCTATACAATACTGTACTACCGTATCATAACACCACTAGCTGGAGTTCTAAATTGATGTATTGTATCATGAGCCTTGTGTCGCTATACAATACTGTACTACCGTATCATAACACCATTAGCTGGAGTTCTAAATTGATGTATTGTATCATGAGCCTTGTGTCGCTATACAATACTGTACTACCGTATCATAACACCATTAGCTGGAGTTCTAAATTGATGTATTGTATCATGAGCCTTGTGTCGCTATACAATACTGTATTACTGTATCATAACACCATTAGCTGGAGTTCTAAATTGATGTATTTTATTGTGAGCCTTGTGTCGCTATACAATACTGTACTACCGTATCATAACACCATTAGCTGGAGTTCTAAATTGATGTATTGTATCATGAGCCTTGTGTGGGCTAAATTGATGTATTGTATCATTGTATTATACAATACTGTACTATACAATACTGTACTACCGATATCATAACACCATTAGCTGGAGTTCTAAATTGATGTATTGTATCATGAGCCTTGTGTCGCTATACAAAATCGTATCATAACACCACTAGCTGGTGTTCTAAATTGATGTATTTTATTGTGAGCCTTGTGTCGCTATACAATACTGTACTACCGTATCATAACACCATTAGCTGGAGTTCTAAATTGATGTATTGTATCATGAGCCTTGTGTTCGCTATACAATACTATATCGTAACACCACTAGCTGGTGTTCTAAATTGATGTATTTTATTGTGAGCCTTGTGTCGCTATACAGTACTGTACTACCGTATCATAACACCATTAGCTGGAGTTCTAAATTGATGTATTGTATCATGAGCCTTGTGTTGCTATACAATACCGTATTACTGTATCGTTCCACCACTAGCTGGAGTTCTAAATTGATGTATTTTATTGTGAGCCTTGTGTCGCTATACAGTACTGTACTACCGTATCATAACACCATTAGCTGGAGTTCTAAATTGATGTATTTTATTGTGAGCCTTGTGTCGCTATACAATACTGTACTACCGTATCATAACACCATTAGCTGGAGTTCTAAATTGATGTATTGTATCATGAGCCTTGTGTGCTATACTATACAATACTGTATCATAACACCATTAGCTGGAGTTCTAAATTGATGTATTTTATTGTGAGCCTTATGTCGCTATACAATACTGTACTACCATATCATAACACCAATAGCTGGAGTTCTAAATTGATGTATTGTATCATGAACCTTGTGTCGCTATACAATACTGTACTACTGTATTGTAATACCACTAGCTGTTTTCACTGCTAACAACTCAGCATGTCACATCTTGTTAACCATTAGGCTTGTCGTTAGACACTGTTAACCAATTGGAATGTTGTTACTCCTTGTTAACCTTTAGTCATGTTTTCTTTGAGAGGCATTTTAGAAGTTGTATAGGTGAAAGAAAACCAAGTTCTATGGATAGTCAACTTCTTTAGTGCAATGAGTGTGACGTTTCAGTGTAGGTACTGACACCGTTATCAAGCAAGTGATAAAATGAGTTGTATCACTTGCTTGATAACGGTGTTAGTACCTAAAACAGTTGACTATCCATAGAACTTGGTCTTCCATTAGGCATATTGTTTTACACTGCAAACTCAATTGACGTCTGTCTAGGAATTAATTCTATAAGAAAAGTTTAACCAATCAAAACATATTAAAAACATGAATTGTAAAATATTATGTTCTGTGTTTGTGTACACTAGATGTTAATTAACATTTTCACTGATTTGGTAACTGAAGTCTACCAAACATGTTTTAGTTGTCCTCATACTGATTCCTCCCTGTGAGATTGGAATGTATGTCCCATATAATATATATCCCAGGTTGACAAGTTTTCCTGTATTGTAACATATCATATCATATCAAGACCTTAGTGTTGATTTATATATCATATCACAACAGTGTATCATTACAACCCTAACCCTCATCTGTACAATAGCTTATACAACAACAAATACGATACTGCTCCTGTCCAAACTGAGCTGGTGCTCCCATATCGTAGCCAGTGCTCTGCTGCTCATAATAATTTCCCTGGAAGAAGCCATCTTCCTGACCAAAACCTCCAGACATGATGGTAACTGATCTTATCTGAAACAAACATCATAATCAGTAAGTTGGGTTGAACACCTCTTTCAGATTCAAACAAATGTTCATAGTGGCCTTGCACATCAAAGCGATGCAAGTCTGCGTGGAGAATCGTTCTCACTTTGCTGACTGGACCACCTGTGCCCGTCAAGTATACTCAAATAGACTGAGAATATTACAAAACTTAAATGTGCATAAAAAATGACAAACATTGGATGCAAAATGAAACACTCCAACATTTGCCTAGGTACTAAGCAGTGAATAGGAGATAAAAGAGTGAGTGGGTGAGTTGGGTTTTATTATGCTTGTAGCGGTAATCAAGCAATATCGCGGTTGGGGACACCACCAATTATTTGGAGGTCTAGTAACTTTCAGGCACAGCTAGCCGACTGGAAACTATTTCGCACACTGCTGGGAACCAGCAGTACTTAAATCTCAAGAACCCATACTTATGTTTATAGTTATACAATATATATATATATTATGTGCATAATTTCTAAAACTAACCTGGCAGTACCAGAGAGAGAGAGAGAGAGAGAGAGAGAGAGAGAGAGAGAGAGAGAGAGAGAGAGAGAGAGAGAGAGAGAGAGAGAGAGAGAGAGAGAGAGAGAGAGAGAGAGAGAGAGAGAGAGAGAGAGAGAGAGAGAGAGAGAGAGAGAGAGAGAGAGAGATCTTTAAAAGGTTTCTGATGGCAAACAAGTTTATGTTTATCAAAGTGGACAGTAAACAATAGGCATAGAATATGGTATTAATTCGGTATTATTATTAATGTGCGTGTAGATCAAGCACTGTTAATTTCAGTGTATGATATTTCCATTCAACATAACAGTACTAAACCATTAACCTCTACAATAACAGTTTACTTCTTTGATCGAAAACCGGACAAACGCAATCAGATATTGTTTTCAAAACAATATTTTGCAGGTACACTAATAATTAACAAATACAAGTGAAGTAAATGTGCGTTTCTCATATTTCCTATAAATAAATCTTCATAATTTTTTGTATATTACCTTCTGTCAGTCAAACTACAAAATACGAAAGAAATCTCAACCACGACAGCAAAGAGCAGACAACTTCACGATGATAATTCCGCTTTTGCGCAGTATCAACCGTACGACTTCCTTTTCCGGTCTTGACATCCACCAGGTCGGTGCTTCATGTGCACTATGTAGAATAAAATCGTCAAGAATTGCCATCATTCATCTCCCATCTAACATAAACATTTAATACGTAAATCGTATTAAGTTTTTACTGTCTGACAAAACTGATATTTTATGCCATAAGCGCTTATTTCATGAGTTAACGGACCTTATGTCCGTGAAGTGAACGATGTACACAAACAAGTTATATACTCGGTCATGGGACTGACTGCATTATTTGTAACGAACGATACGGGATTTTAGTGTTCTTAAACCTCAGACAACGCTTTGACTTTGCACCACGTCACATTTGCACATGAATGATTCTAAGAATATATCTATCAACATTTTGAAGTTGTAGACCCAAGTTACCTCTGCTAGCAAAGTTCATGCTTATCATGAAATTCAAGATACAAATGCTTGACGAGGTGTATTGGCATTTGGTTATAACTTATAGAAAAAGAATGGTTTGGGCATAATTGATACAGAATTTATATACTCATAAATCTGATCTCGAGGTATAACCCAAGTAGAAAATAGACCAAGTCTAAATCACTTTAAGTTTACTGATTTAACGTCTTTGAACGACATTTAGAAGTGATACAAGGTGAAAAAATGTCAACTTCTTCAATATAAGGATCATGACATTTCGGGGGCATTAACCTGGCGAATGAGTAAGATCCGCTGAAATGTCATGTTCCTTATAATAAAAAAGCTGACATCCATAAATGTTCTACCTTATACATTACTGATTGGCGTAAGCAACTGCTCGTTTGAATCTGTTAATCAAGCATGTTGGCTTGGTAGATGGTGTGTAATTTATGCACATCAGGTTCGCATCGTTGCTCATGCTCTCAACCACTGGTTTTTACTCGGGTACATACTGCTGTGATGTTTCGATTAAGCTGGAATATTGCCGACGGTGGTGTAATGCAAGCAAACATGATTTCCTCAAGCTAACATGTAATGATATGTATGTATTTGTGTTTTAGTCATGAAGACCATAAAATCAAGCGAGAGTGTGAAAGCTCCTGAGGGAGGTAAGTGTCAATCTTTACCAGGTTTACGTAGTTGTTTATATGATAGTGCCTCTTCTGTGTAGTGGATATAAGATCTTGCTGGAGAGTATTTCAATCTCCTGGCTGTGTCCTATGAAATATATGGCAGTTGTTATCCCACCTGGTGCTCTGTACTAGGGCATAAAACATGGATTTGTCGGGTCGGTCAGATTGAATCCTTGTTAAGCCAAGACATAGTATCTCAGAGGGTTTGCTCTGTGTATACAGCAAAAGTCCAGACAACTACCAGCAGCCATTCGCTTCCAGGAAGCTAGATAAGTGAAATAATCTTGAACAAAACTTAAGACCCACTGTCTCTCTTATGACCCAAGGTGATAGTAATTCAGGGATCACAAGGACTTGAAAAAGTCTGAAATTTAGACATTTTACACTAATAAGGCCCTAAATTCATTTTATCCTAATAAAGACCGGAATTGCAAGTGAATTGCCCTGTAGAGGCCCTATGTGTATCAAAACGTTAGGAATTTATAGGAAACTAATACTAATACATAATAAAAATACCTTGCAATGACTGTAGGTGTTAATGAAACCAATGCAAGGCAACACTTTCCCTGTGCAGCGGTAGCTAGAGTTATTTCTCCCTGATGGCTGGTCCCACATTTGACCAACCTTGTGTGTATGTAACTACCTATGTGTTATTTGTGTTTCTATAGCACCTTAAAGTTGTTGTTTATCAAGGCCTTAAACTTGATGGTTGAACATCTGTACGACCCATGTAATCATTTCCAGCAAGTTGGGTGCCTACTTCTGTTTCTACATATTCTTATTTACAAACAGACATGACATGGTTAGAATAATGCCGACTCTTTTAAATAATACAAGCATCAAGCAATACAATATCAAAGAATCTTGAATTTACAGCATTCATGTTTCTGTACAGAGTTGCATCCCTTGGGCATGCCAGATATATACGATCATGGATTTGAACCCAAAATGTCTGTTTTGCTCATTGTCAAAACTGTAACTTGTTTGTTTCACCAGTTGGATAAATCTGAAAGACTGCATCACTTCCGGTCCTCCCTCATTTAGCTGACACTGTGGTTAACTGAAATAACATTGTATTTAAAGCGTTGTTCACAATCACACTGACAGGCATGTTTAATGAAACCCATCAGGCCACCCCCAAAAATCCTTTGGTTCCTGTTACATTTTTGAAAAATAGTAGGTAGGTAGGTAGGGATTTTTTAATGTTTTTTTAACCAATAACCAAGAACTGCAACAGAAACAAAGCCACCTCATTCACATAAATATGTTATAAGGAGCCTCTTATACAAGCAGCATCATTTCTGTTAAAATGCTCACCCTAAGTATCCTTTGATGCGAGTGTATAAATGTGTGTAGTATGTTAAATATAAACGTATACAGAATATGGTTAACAGTTCCTTGCCACTACTGCAATAAAAGTTAAAATCCACTTTTCTTCAGAGTTTCTATTTCTCTCTTTCATCAGAACAACACAAGTACTAATGTACAGCGTTAGCAAGAATGTTAACTACAGGTTATATTCCTTACAGAATATTAACACATATTTCTGAATAAAACATGTTGATATGAAATATATTTTTATGAAATTATTCAAATAATACAACTACAACTTAAATAAATTTATTTGTAATGAAAATGCAAACTTACATTTATAATGTCCAGATAAACCACGAAAGAAGCAAAAACTACAGCGATTTTTTTTCCATTTGTGACATGTCATAATATCCCTGTGCCTTTTTCTTATATATTTTCATTTGTACATAATCGGAAAATTATTACAAAAAGATTGCTTAAATAATATGTATGGTCGCCTATTTCCCAATATCAGTAGCTTTCTGCTCGGTAACATGACACAACAGCGGAAGATATGTTTTCAAAGCTTCGTATGAATAAGGTGCGAGGCGATTCGTTTGATATCGGGTATGGTTCGAAAGCTCTGAACATCAACTATATCACTGTACCCTTGCAGAGAGTATTTACACAGTTGTAAGAAGCAATTTTATTGGATAAAGATTGGTTTCTAATGACGCTTCGCCACAGTCTGCTATAAGAATTGTGATTGGTCAAAATCAGGCACGTGACCCAAGACAGCCAATCATATTACAGCAATGGATACCGTCCTCGTAAATGAAAACCTTTAGATTTAGACGAAAGTTTTGGGTAAAATAATGCTATTTTGAACATATTAAGCAAGAAATCGCTACCTATACATAAATTATGGAACTTATTGGACGTATCGTGCTAGGTTATGACCTGTGACAACTATGCTTTATGCATATATTTCCGCATTAAACATTGTGTCTGAGCGTGAAGATCGAGGCGGCGAAAGCCGAGATGTCACTTGTCAGTGATTTGACTTGCATCACACGATCAAACAAAATGATGGAAATAGTAATCTATATGTACGTTTGACAACTTTTATGAATGCTGTTGTTGATTTTATTCATTAGTTTATTCAATTTAATTAATGATTTCCTCGAAACATCGTTTCTTTGCTCTTTGACAATTATATTGTGGAGCCGCTGTCGAAGCATGTGTCCGAGAATCATTGTTTTCAATAACAGTGCAAAAACACCTCCAAGACCGGCCAAAAAGTTAGGTAAGGTCAGGTGATCGGAACCAGCCAGGCAGTGAATAGGAAAATAAATGTAATTATGTTTATTTTTATAAACGTCGATAACATCAGGAGTAGATACAACCCGAGGACTCAATCTTATTTGGCTGCATGCATAAGTATCATGAAAAGGAAACATTGTTATAATTGTGGTGGTTTCTCACATTAGGCTCCAGTTTCAGCATTTGAGCAGTTGTAAACAAGGACAGAGGGGTGCACCGACACCTACAGGCTCAGAATCCTCTAAGCCTTCAAAATTAATCTATGTTGATCAAGGCTAGTCAAAAAATACATTTGTAAACCTTATTTCAGTAGTCACTTATCTTTACAGAGATTTCACCAGTTTAGTTTTCTTGGTCTAGAGGATATGCATGAGTTGCAAGGATGCAGGTATGACCAGCATCAGAGTGAATTCTGAACCAGTTTCGTTTGTGTGCAGGCATTGTTATATATACATCAGAAATTTAACATTGACATTTATTTTGCAGTGACACTTAAAGTTCACTCCCGAACTGTCACCGTTTTTGGACCTCGTGGGAAGCTTGTGCGCAGTTTCCGCCACTTGCCAGTGGACATGAAGATAAAGAATGGCAAGATCCTTACTGTGGAGAAGTGGTTCGGCAAGCACAAGGAATTGGCTGCCACAAGGACAGTCTGCTCTCATGTTGAGAACATGATCAAGGGGGTCACCAAGGTATTCTCGCTAAGCATTGCAAACCGGCTCTGGTCAGAAAACTTTATCGTGGATTTTTGACCCTTGAAGATCCGGGGTAGAATAGGGCTTCAGCAACCCATGCTTGCCACAAAAGGCGACTATTCTTGTCGTAAGAGGCGACTAATGGGATCGGGTGGTCAGGCTCGCTGACTTGGTTGACACGTCATCGGTTCCCAAGTGAGCAGATCAATTCTCATGCTGTTGATCACTGGATTGTCTGGTCCAGACTCGATTATTTACAGACCGCTGCCATATAGCTGGATTATTGCTGAGTGTGGCATAAAACTCAACTCAACTCACTCACTCACTCACTATCATGGATTTTAAGCTAGTTCATTCAGTATAAGGAAAATCTTCCATGAATGAGCAGTCCTGATGTACGGGGAATCAAAGGGTGTTCAAATGTTCGGGTTAATTGGGAAGTTGGGTTCTGTTGGAGTGAATTTTATCAACACTATGCTATTCTGTTTCCCTCTTTTTTATGTACCAAGGGGTCATTCATTGCATCATTCCTTCACTCTGCATTTTATTTCAGGGATTTTTGTACAAAATGCGTGCCGTTTATGCCCATT